CGTGTTAATTTACGAGAAACGTGCAGTTTCTGTTATTTTTTCTTCTGATTAAAGGGTACGAGTTTTTCGCACTCTCGACTTAATCCCTCCGCGCGCGTGTCTTTGTCTCTTGAGCAAATTTGTGGGAAACGAGATTTCTTTTTTCTTTTTTCGAGGATTATGATCCTGATGTAGTAAGCGTTGGCGTAAGTGTTGACGAGATTAAGGAATTAGGGAAACGAGAGAAAGGGGAACAAGAGGAAATCGAAGAGAGAGAGAGAGGAAGAGAGAAATGAAACGAAATGACACTTAGATAATCAATTCGTCACCGAAAGTATCACAGCGTTAAGGACGAGCTTGAAAAAAATAAATTTAACATTCACGCCGTGTGTTTCGAAAAGTGTGACAAATCGAATTAAACGATGGATTCGTTCTTTGGTTTCATCTCGCTGAATATAAAATATTTATATCGGAGTTGCAATCTTTTGTGCAATTTTGTGAAAATCAGTTTATGACTTTTCAACAAATTTTCTACGCGTAACGAATATACCAGTACAAAGTAGGAGAATGTAATAAAAACGGAGAATTATTATATCAATGAACAATTTTTTTTTTCAATATTAAATAAATTATACGAATTACCATTGTTACCAATTGTTTCTTCTCGTTTAATCGATTTAAATATATATATATATAAATTTTGATATAAAATGTCTTCATTATCAAGTATTCTATTCGACCAACCATTCGAGAACTTTCTAATTACCGCGAAATTACTTAAAACTCGTCCTAAATTCATCCGTGTATTCATCATGATTAATTTCAACCAACATATTAGCCCAGCCATGAGAGCAAAATATAATTAACCGACTAACATCTCTATCCAGCTCTCCACCCTAAACAGAATTCGAAAACGCTCTTGGTCCATAGCCTCGATGCATCACAAACCTAATCAACCCCTAAAATTCCAACTATTTCCCCTCCGATTACCATACCAACCGAAATGGAACGAGACGAAGAACTGTACCGGTCTCGATTAAATAATCACACGCGGTATTCAACGATGACGTTGTCGCTGTGCATTCATCGTAACTTCGAAGGTTTCCGGTGATAGTGAACGTTATACAGTCTCGAAAATCATCAATGTAATTACACCGTGCTCCTTTTATTTATTTAGACGGACAATAAACCGTCGATGGTGGACAGGAAACACCGTATTTGAACACGGAAAAATACGATTGTATTTAGGATTTTAAATTTTGATTTTAATTTCGAGTAAAAAAAAGAAAAAGAATTATACAAGAAAAAGTAACGCGAAACAAAATCCTCCTTCGAATTTATCGAAGGATTTATTGAATTTCTAATAATAAATTGTTATTTTTGCAAAAAGATATATATATATAAGATTTGAGTTTTGTATTAAAAGTACGATTTCCTTTCTGATCCTTTAAAAAAATTATCACCAATTATCTGGAGGGAGACTGTTTAGATAGATAGAAGCGGAACCGGAAACGCTATGTTTCCCTCAACGAAATAATTTTTTCGCGTATATAATACCCAAGTACAAGCTGATGGCCGCGCTCAAATTAGCAAAGTCATCGTTTCTTTTGTTTCTTTCCATGGGAGTTAGCACGCGTGTAAGCGGATTCCTGGCGGATTTCACGCGGGTAAAGTTTTCGAAGTAGCCGGCGGGCAAATTTAGCCGCAAGCTCTAATTAAAACGCGCTCAAGTTTCCGGAGCACGCGAAGAATATTCCGTTTTTTTACACCAGAGTTGTAGAAACCGGTGGTAAATCGCGATTTCCGAATCGTGTTTGGAATACGTGAAGTGCGCTCGTTGAAATTTTTTTCTATATTTTTCTATATTCTTTTTCTTTTTTTTTTTTTTTTTTTTTT